GGATGGATGGATGGATGGATGGATGGATGGATGGATGGATGGATGGATGGATGGATGGATGGGGGGTGGATGGAGGGATGGAGGGATGGGTGGATGGATGGATGGATGGATGGGGGGTGGATGGAGGGATGGAGGGATGGGTGGATGGATGGATGGATGGATGGATGGGGGGTGGATGGAGGGATGGAGGGATAGAAGGAAGTGGAGCCGCTGTGCAGCGGGGCTGGCGGGCACCAGGGGGAGCCGCGCAACGCCAGCCGAGCCCAGCCCCCCCGAGCTCCCCGCGGAAAGCAGCGTCCTGCCGCGCTCTTGCCACAGATGACTGTGAGATCGAGATCATCTCCTTCCATGGCCAGGGACACCTTCCTCCAAGCCCCGTCCAACCTCGCCTTGGACACTTTCAGGGATGGGGCAGCCACAGCTTCTCTGGGCAACCTGTGCCAGGGTGTCACCACCCTCCCAGGGAAGAATTTCTTCATAATATCCCCACCTAACCCTGCCCTGCTTCAGTTTGAAGCCATTCCCCTTTGTCCTATTACTACATGTTCTTTTAAAACATCTCTCTCCGTCTTTCTCGTACCCCTCCTCTCACCTCCCCCTCCAGAAATGAGCATTAAATCCCAGGCTGCAGGATGTAGCTGCAGGAGCATAAAAATAACAGATGCAGAGGCACACAAGTAATAAAAGATAAAATTCACACACTGAGGGAGGTATCCTGCAACTGCTTCTTGATATGTGGCCTTTGGGTTTAAGGGGGGGCTAATAAAAAGGATGGAGAGTGACTTTTTACTGGGGCAGGTAGCACAAGGACAAGAGGAATGGTGTTCAGCTGAAAGAGGAGAGATTTAGAGATGTTAGAAGGAATTTTTTCAATGTAAGAGTGGGCAGGCCCTGGCACAGGATGCCCAGAGCAGCTGTGGCTGTCCCTGGATCTCTGAAAGTGCCCAAGGCTAGGTTGGACAGGGCTTGGAGCAGTCTGGGACAGTGGAAGGTGTCCCTGCCCATGGCAGGGGGTTGCAACTAAATGATCTTGAAGATCCCTTCCAACCCAAACTGTTCCATGATATGCCCGTATCTCCACCCTTGTAAAGAACTGTAAACAACCTCAGAGCTTTGCAAGCTTTGGTGGACCTGCGATTTTCCAGCCACTGAGTCCCTCCTCAGAATGGGTTTAAACCTCACCCTGGCTCAGTGGAGGAAGGGGAGAGGCCAAAAGGACTCACCAATGCTTTTTAGGGTGGGAGAGAGACCCCCAAACTCAGCAAAGGCACAAGCTGCAGCAGTGTCTGTGCAATCAGAGTGCCAACAAGCCCTATTCTTTTCCGCTGAGGAAGGAGGAGCTGCCACAGCTGCCTAGAAATGGTTAAAATATCATGGGAACTGCTAACTAGTTTTAATTGCTGGCAGCTGCTCAGCTCCTCGGGGCAGGGCAGTGGGGGCTGAGGCGCCCTGGCAGCAATTACAGCCGATGCCTCGCCGCCAGCGCGGTGCAACCGGGGCCGTGTGACTGGCGCCGGATCCCGGCCCGGCGAGCGGCTCCAGCCACGGGCGTGCTGCGGGGCTCAGCCTGCTCCTGGTGTCCAGAGCGAGGGCACACCCCGGCAGGCTGCAAAGCTGCTCCATCGGGTGCTGCACGCACGCCCTCACCCAAAAATGAAAATCCACCTTGCAGCGCAAACCCCGGCAGGGTGCAAAGCTGCTCCGTCGGGTGCTGCATGCACGCCCTCACCCAAAAATGAAAATCCACCTTGGAGAACCTTCTGGAGCTGGCAGGAGCTCTTGCCAGTTAGCCAACCTGAAGGAAAAGTCTGGGTGACTTTAGCTAATGCTTCAGGTTTAGATACCATATGTTTGTCCAATATAACCCCCAAGAAACCATTTTCCACCTGGTTGGTTGGTGTGCCAGTGAATGCTTGGCCAATCCCAAAAGATCCTCAAAAACCTATACCACGCACATTTACGGCATCATCCCCAAATAATCTTTGGATTCCGGTGGATGCGTGGGAACAGTGGGTTCCTCACCTTCCCAAGGCATCTTGTGAACCTCAAGAATTAGAGATCCTTGGCTCTGTGAACATGACCAGTTTTGTCCAATTGAATGACACAAGGAAAGATCAATCTTTAGTTAAGGATGTTATTCCCTTTGGCAGTATATTTAAAAATCAGACCTGCCGCTGCCCAGGCTGCTTCTCCCACCCTCTCCCTCAGCCAGAGGAACACCCAAAAACCAGAAGGACCTCGTGGCACGCTGCTTGGGCCACCTGCACATCAGTGGTGGTACAGCTGCCTTGAGTGCTACCTCGAGCATCCCACACTCAGCTGCACTTGAGCCGGTGTTTACAGAGCAGTGGGATGTGCTGGAAAAGGCTGAAGAGCAGGGGGAAAAAAAAAACCCAACAACTCCAGTTGCTGTCGCGGGAGTGAAGCTGTAAGGGAAGAGCCCTGATGCAAACCCAGCACTGGGGTAAGATCTCTGGGAAGACGAAGCAGGACAAAAAGGTATTTTCCAGCTGGATCAGGCCATGTGAGTGCAGTTTCAAAGTGCCTGCTTTGGGAAGCAGAGTGTGGAAAATGAGTGAGAGCGGGTGGGTTAAACCGGGCAGCGTTTAAGGCAGTCTGGTATTCAAAATACGAATTAAAGCGATGCAAATGAAGGGTTCACTTACCCCCATTGCGCAATTTGAGAAAAATATGACATGACAAACTATCATTAAGGCAAAGGGCTGTTTTTCCTCCCAGGTATTTACGTACTAGCCCTCGTTTTCCCTCTAATGGCCAGGCGTGAACGCGTCAATCAAATTCCCGGTGCGGCAGGACCGCTCCCAGCAGCCGACCCGAGGTGTGAGGAGCTGCGCTGGGCAGGCATCAGCTCCAGAGGGGCTGGGTGCAGCCAGGCAGCAGGGGATGGCACACGGGAGAGGGCCCTGGCACACGGGAGAGGGCCCCTGGCATTCTGCACCAGCCCGAGGAGCGGCTGGGACCAGTCCAGGGGTGCAGCAGCACCGGCCCAGGGGTGCAGCAGCGCTGGCACATCCCACCGGTGACACACCTGAGCGGGCATCTCCGGGCTGGCCACTCGGGTCTGAGGCACGGCCATGAAAAAGGCATGAAAGCGTTCCAAAAGATGGCAATCGGGTGAATAAGAAAAGGAGGGAACTCTCAAAGCTTAAGCAGGAGGTGAGGCAAAGACTCACTTGTCTAGGACTCAAGGTCACGGCGCCCTTCAGCGCTGGTCATGGGAGGGGTGGGTTTCTTTTCCCACCCGAACTTCGGAGGCGGAACAGGCCTGAGGTGGGCTGAAACCTTCTCTGCTGATTCCTTTCCTCTCATACCTTGCTCCTCACTAAATACCTTGGTGATCTGGGATAAGGCTGGGCTTGCTGGCACCGACTTATCAAGATATCTTTACGGTACAAAAAACATTTCAATCAGTGGGAAGAAGGACAATTTTATTTATTTTTGTTTAAAGAGCTTCTTCTTTTGAGCCCTCAGACGTTATTTGCAGCTGTGGTCGGCTGGAAAGGCTGCAGCCAGGGGTAGCCAGAGGTGCTTTTTTATTTGGGGGTTCAGAGGTCTTGGAGGCAATTTGCATGGCATTATCCATAGCGGTGCTATCGGGACAAACAGTCCTGCCAGCCTAATTAGGCATTAGGAAGGAGAGAGCGTCTGAAGACCAGCACACAGGGGAAAAAGAGGGGATAGGCAGCAAAGCTACTGATAACGTGGGGTCGAGGCACTGGGAAAGGCTTCCCCAGCATGGAAAAGCCTTGCAGAGAGCTCTGATTTCCCTGGGATGCCTGGAAGCCCTGGCACTGCCTCCCCACCAGCTCACCCTGACACATCTCCTCTTGCCCCACAAAAATCCTCTTCCCTCCTCTGGGAATGCAGCTGGGCTGAAATCACTCTGGTTTTTGTAAAGAGGGAATTTTAACAGGCATGAAGTAAACACTGAGCTAGCAGTGGTTAATTTATTTTTTTTTTCTCCTACTACTGACGATTTCCTCACCTGAGAGCTTTGGAAGCACCAAAGGAGGCTGCAGAAATTCCTGCTGACAGACCTGCTGCAAGGATGCCGCCCTGCCACGGAGCAGTCCTGTATGCTGCCTGAGAAGGACAGGGAATTTCTTTCTCTACACAGGGCAGAAAAGGGCTGGGAGGAGGAAAGAACAGGTTTTACGGCAGAACAGGTGGAGCAGTGCATTTTGACAGGTGGGTTGTGGGTTGCTGGGGGACACCTGGGTGGAGCCAGCGTGTCCCCTTGGTTTGCCATGGGCCAGCAGTGATAGCACATGGGGGAACTGTTTGAAACTGAAAGAGGGGAGATTTCGAGGAGATGCAAGATAGAAATTCTTCCCTGTGAGGGTGGCACGGAGAATCTATGTCTGCCTCATCCATGGAAGTGTCCAGGGCCAGGCTGGATGGGGCTTGGAGCCTCCTGGTCCATGGCAGGGGGTTAACAAAGTGATCCTTAGGGTCCCTTCCAACCCAAACCATTCCATGGTTCTATGAGTCCCTGCTGATTTTCTCCATGCTCCCTGAGGGTGAAGCAGCCAGCACCCTCCCATCCTTCCCCTCTCCATGGGCTCTCCCACCCCAGACCAGTACTCCCCAGGTTTCCCCTTCAGGCTGAGGGCAGCGAGGTGAAGGCACGGGGCTTTGCTGTCCCTCACCTCCAAGCAGGGAGGCACATTCCATGCCTGGGGGCTCCTGAGGGAGCTGAGCCAGGCTCAGGAGAAGATGCAGCACCTTCATGGAAGCTGAGGATGGAGG